TAAATTATTAAAATGCTTTGGTTGTAGTGCAGTGTTAGTTCAGTGTCATGTTAGCAGCACTGCATGGGCCAGGCTCTTAGAGCTCATGCTAAAAGCCTCCTTTTCAGAGCCCAAGGTCTCAGCTGGGACTTGATCGCTCTCGCACACAGTTAGGCATTATGTGGAAACTGGGGGGGAGCAAAGGGGGAGCCACCATCTTTCTCCTACGCTGAGTTTTTAAGTCTTTCCCCCTCCCTGCTCAGCCTGGCATCACTCACCACCACAGCTTTTCCCTTGCTTTAGGTGACCATGTGCCTCAGGTGAAGGTGAGTGTGCTTTGAGGGGCATCTTTGGGGCAGCTCTGCCCTGGTGTTGCAGATGGGAGAGACCCAGGGCATCCATGGGTGTTTACTAGACCCAGGCCGGGAAGTCCTACATTGCCGTCTGTGTGCACCCTTGGGCAACAACAGGAGCAGAAAAAACACTTCATGGGCACCAGGAGAAGCAAACCACCCTCTGCTGCTCCCCAGTTCACTAACGTTCACGGCTCAGCCTGCAGATGAAGGCATCTGATTGTTTCAGTCCCCTGGGAGTGAAAGTACCAGTTCAGGAGACCAAACTATGATCACGACAGGTATTGTTTAGAAACTGGATCTTCACGTCAGCTCTTTATACAAGAACTTTAACTCATGGTAACAGTGTCCTCAGGCACAGCAAACACTGGGTTCAAGTGCAGAGATTGATTTGCTGCTTTTCCCTCACAAAGGAGCTGCCATTGGCCTCCCTCAGGACACGGCTGTCTGATGCTTGCTGGGTGCCTGCTGCCACAGAGGGCAACTGTTCTTTCCTCAGCTTGGGGAAACCAAATGTCCTAATAAAAAATATCCATTTTAGAGGTCTGGGTTATATTTTGTACAGAGCAAGGGAGAAAATGCCTGCAGTGCTCTTGGGTATGGAGTCGATGCAGTGTTTATGCAAAAGGAAAAGCCATTAGAAATCACAGAAATGAGAAGCCTGCAGTTTCTGGCTTCCCTCATTTTTCAATACCTCCTTTAATCCAGACCAACCCAACCCACAAGCCCTTGTATATGCATGGGTATTTATAAATCCTGTATTTCCCTCACCACACACACAAGTGAAATTCAGCCTTTTCTGGGCTTGGGGGATTTATCAACCACACCAACAGCAAACACTAGCACCAGGAAGCACAAAATCCCTGCGGTGCTGAGCTCTGCAGGGGACAGGGGGCCAACTGGGATGGTCACCCCAGGCATGTTCGCACTGCCCTGCTCCTGCCCCTGCCCCAGCATCACCCTCCAAACACCCAATTTTGATAACACAGTATTGCCTTGTCTGCTAGAAAATCCTGATAATGTGGGTTTAGATTTACTGGAGTTTCCTTTCTCTGTTCCTCATGTAT